GGGAGGGAGGAGGGAGGAGGTGGCTCCAAGGACGGATGGTGGGGTGGAGTGGGGGAGGAGGAGAGGAAGGAAGGAGTAGGCGAAACCTGGAGGAGGCTGAGCAGGGGGCCCACGCCTGTGATCCCAGCAACTTGGGAGGCTGAGGCAGGAGGATGGCAAGTTTGAGGACAGTCTCAGCAACTCAGTGAGACCCTAAGCGACTTAATAAGATCCTGTCTCAAAAGAAAAAAATGAAAAGGGCCGGGAATGCAGTTCAGGGTGGAAAGGCGCTGGCCTCGCACGTGTGAGGCTGTGGGTTTGATCCCCAGCAGCACACCCCCAATCAGAGGAGCAGGATGAGGACTGGGGAAGGAGAGGGCAGGACCAAGAGTGGGACACAGAGGAGTAGCGGGCGGGTGCTGGTGATGGGGGGCTCCAGACACTGACGCTGGCTTCCCTGCAGGCCCCGCGCATGGGCACCTTTATGGGTGTGTACCTCCCGTGTCTGCAGAACATCTTTGGTGTCATCCTCTTCCTGAGACTCACTTGGGTGGTGGGCATAGCAGGCATCATGGAGTCCTTCTGCATGGTCTTCATCTGCTGCTCCTGTGTGAGTGACACTGCCCCCGTGACAGCTGGGGCTTGGCCGAGGCCTGGGGTGGGAGGCGGGAGGTGGAGGCTCCGGACCTGGGCTTTCCCTAGGAGCCTCTGCTGGTGACTCTTGAGAGTCGATTAGGTCTGACTGGCCCCTCCGCGTCTCATGGGCTCGTCCCTGATGGCTGTTGACCAGGTTTCACGTGGATCTGGGAGTGTGTTTAATCACACAAGTAATTAAATGCAGATTCATTGATAAAGTGATAAGCATAGCAAAGAAATTAGAGTTCTCCGATGATCCCACAAAAGTTGACGTTTTGGTAGATTGAGATGATGTATCACAAACAACATCGCAACTGGATTCTTCTCATTCTCTCTAAAAAGTCAACTATTCAATGAACCCAAATTCTTGACACGTTTCTGTGTCCTGGAATATAACCTTGAGACAGCTCTGCATGCGACGTACCCAGTGCGGAAGTCATTGCACCTATTTTATAGATGAAGAAGCTGAGGCCAGAGAAGCAAAGGGAGCTGTCCCAGGTCACGTGGCTGGTTGGGGGCCAAACTGGGGTTTCCAGAGCCCTCTGGTACTGACGCTCCCGCACGTCCCCTCGCATGGTGAATAAGAGTTTTTCTTGAGAAGGACTTGGCACAGAGAGAAGTTGGAACAGGCCCAGGGAGAAGCTCAGCAGAAGAGAACCTGTGGGTTTGGCTGGTGTTTACGGGGCGAACGGCCTGGCCTCCACCCAGGCCACTGCGGCCCCCGGCAGCCGCCACTCTGATGATCTCTCTTCTACAGACGATGCTCACGGCCATCTCCATGAGTGCCATTGCCACCAATGGTGTTGTGCCTGGTATGCGGAGGGGACTCCAGGGAGCGGGAGGGGCTGATGGTCAGAAGGAGGGTCGGAGCCCTGGGCTCTGGGGATCGTCAGGACCTGAGAGAGGCAATATGGCAGACCGGGGGCCTGGGCTCTGTCTGCCTATGGGGTAGGCCAGGAGCAGCCTTTTTGGGAGTGGAAGAGGGAGGCCATGGTGGGGGTTGAATCGGGCAGTGACAGCCCTCCCCCCTCAGCCTGAGACCCTCCTAGGGTGGTGACATCGTAGCTTCTGGGCCATGACCTCCTTACAGGGGTAATTAGCAACATGCTGCTAATTAGTGCTGCAAGATCCACACACAGTGGTTGGCTGGACCTCCCCCAGTCCCCTTGCTGGGGGCTGCAGCCTGCGGCAGAGCAACCCTTTCTGCCCTCTGTCACTGAGCCCTCCTCGTCCCCTAGGGCAGCTGAGTGCCCCTGGACCCTCTTGCTGATACTTGGCTTTCTCTGCAGCTGGTGGCTCCTACTACATGATCTCCAGGTCTCTGGGCCCAGAGTTTGGGGGCGCCGTGGGCCTCTGCTTCTACCTCGGCACTACCTTTGCTGGGGCCATGTACATCCTGGGCACCATCGAGATCCTGCTGGTGAGAGGGGCTGAGGGGGGCTGGGGCTGGGGCTCAGGGGTGGAGTGCTCGCTGGCATGAGTGAGGCCCTGGGTTCCATCCTCAGCACCACATTCAAAATAAATACAATAAAGATATTGTGTCCATCTACAGCTAAAAATCTTTTTAAAAAAAGAGGCTCTGAGGAGGAGACGTGGGGTCCCAGGCGGTCAGCCAGGGCACCAGTGCTCCCTGGACTCCCGGCGGCCAGGCTGCTCAGCCAGGCCCCGAGGAATCGGTGTTGTGTCTCGAAAGCGTCCCCAGCCCAGCTGGGGAGAGGAGATACGATGATCATGCAACCCCAACAGCTGCCGTTCCTCAGGCCCCCACCGAGCCCTCAGCACCGTTCAAGTGCTGTGCAGCCCTGAGCCTGAACCCTCCCGAGGGTTAGATATCATGACGCCCATTTTACAAATGAGAAGTTCAGAGAGGTAAGATAACGTGCCAAGGTCACTCAGTTTTCAGGAAGGTGGCAGAGATGGGTTGATAAGAGTTAAAATCAGAGTAGAATTAATAATAGTGAAGGGGCTGGGGCTGGGGCTCCGCGTAGAGCTCTCGCCTAGCACGTTCGAGGCCCTGGGTTCGATCCTCAGCACCATGTGAAAATAAATAAATAAAATGGAGGTATGGTGTCCAACTACAACTAAATAACAACAACAACATCAACAATAATAAAATAATAAAAGCAGTGAAGCCACACAACAGCTACCATGTGGTTCCTCCCACGTGCCAGGAACGGTGTCAAGGACTCCGGGAATGGTCATTCTAAAGGGCCTGTGGCTGCTGAATGACAAGAGATAAGAAGCACGGGGGGCCCCTGGAAAGAGGTCTGTTAGGGGCAGTGGCAAATGGGCAGAAGGCAGGCCCTGGGCCGTGTTTGAAGGACAGGGCTGCTAGACCCTCCTCGCCCAGGTGGGTGCCAGTGAGGGTCCTGGTTTACGGAGGGCAGAGCTGACAGTGCCCACGCCCCGTCCTATGCAGGCTCCGAGGCTCGCCGCGTGTCATTTGATTTTAGCCTCCTGACTCGTTCGCGAGCTGGAAGATGACCACTTGACAATGGGGAAAGCAAGTCTCAGGGAGCCTAAGGGACATGGGGAGGACGTGGACCTGTGTCTCTGGGCTTCCAGAGTCTGTGCTTGCCCCCGTCCCCACCGCACTCCTTGGAGAGCTATTGTTCAAGGTGCCACAGCTCCAGTTTGGGGGCAGGACAGGAGAAATCGGGTGGAGAGGATGCATGGGGCCCGGAAGACCGGAGGAGACAAATGGGGAGAGAAGAAGAACAGACGTTTGTGGCTTTTAAAAATCAAATATTGTGGCCTGGGGCTGTGGCTCAGCGGTAGAGCGCTTGCCTAGCACAGTGAGGCGCTAGGGTTGATCCTCAGCACCACATAAAAAAAAGATAAAGTTAAAAAATAAAGGCATCATGTCCATATACAACTACAACATTCTTTTAAAATTAAAGATTTTAAAATGTGTATTATAATAAATTCTGGGCTGGGGATGAAGCTCAGGGGTAAAGTGCTTGCCCAGCATGTATGAGGCTTGGTCCTCAGCGCCACCCCCAACTACCCACTACATAAAACAGGAAAAATATTAAATAAAAAAATGTTGAAAAAAGGGAAAAATATCATCTAGAGAAAATCATCAGGATCTTTCTGGTGCATTTTCTTCTAGTTTTTGCTTTTCTAAATGATATGGTATTCCATCTTTGTAAATACACCTTCACGCTATAAGCATCTCCCTGAATAACTGGAAACTCTTATAAAGGGTAGATAACTTTGTGAGAATATAAACATACCAATGTTTAGCACAGAAACTTTAGAAAGTGCAGATGTGCAACAAGAATAAATATTATGCACAATTTAATGATTCAGGGGAAACCGCGGTTAATATTTTGATGTATCTGCAGACAAGCTGCAGATATACACATATCTGTGTCTTCACAGATAAATTTACAACAATGAGATCATACAGCATTCTTATTTTAAACCTGATTAAGTCCACCAATATCACACGTGTAGTTTTTTTAGTCAGCCTGTATAAACCCATGGTTTGTGTGAGGGTGTGTGTGGGGGTGTGGGGGTGTGTGCTCTGGGAGCCGAACCCAGGGCCTTGTGTGCGAGCCGAGCACACGCTGTGCTGCGGGCTGTCAGTGACCCTGTGCCTGCTTTTCTAACAGCCCCGTAGTTTATGTCGGGATGTGATTCATTTGCCCAACCTCTGGGAATGAACACCGATTTCCTTCCACCTTCCTGCTAGAAGTACCACAGGCCGCTCATCATTGTGATTGACGGCTGAGGCCTAGTCCTGCAGGGTGGGCCGCCCTTCCTCGGCCACCCTCAGGACCAGGGCTCTTGGCCCCACTCGCTGTGCCGTGGCGGGCGTCATCGGCCCCCACAGCCGTGCCCATGCTTCCGATGACTTCCCTGGGGGTGAGCCTCAGCTGGTCCTCTCTGGGTCCCCTGCCTGACCCCTGGCCGGCTTCCTGCAGGCGTACCTCTTCCCGGCCATGGCCATCTTCAAGGCAGAGGATGCCAGTGGAGAGGCGGCGGCCATGCTGAACAACATGCGTGTCTACGGCACCTGCGTGCTCACCTGCATGGCCACTGTGGTGTTTGTGGGCGTCAAGTATGTCAACAAGTTCGCCCTGGTCTTCCTGGGCTGTGTCATCCTGTCCATCCTGGCCATCTATGCCGGGGTCATCAAGTCTGCCTTCGACCCACCCAACTTTCCGTGAGTGCTGCCCAAGGCACGGCCATCCCCTCTGCCTGCCCCTGGTTCGGGCCCCTGCCAAGCCCCCTCTCCCTGCCTGGCAGAAGGGGTGTGGGTGGGAGCCACTCTGTGGGAGGAAGGCCTCTCCCTGTCTGGGCTGCTTCCCGGGGTGGGAACAGTGTCCCTGGTGAGGGTCAGCCGCCGGCTGGTGCGTGGGCTTAGGAAGAAGGGAAGGGATTGACCTCTGAAGGGTCCACACTGCGGTGGGGGAACTTCCCTGGACAGGACAACTCCAGGAACGGGACAGCCTTAGTGTGGACAGCCCCTCCAGGATGGGAGAGGACGCAGAACAGAGGGGCCCCGCCTCAGGTCTCTGACCGGGCGCCCTCCCGGCCTGGAGACTCTTGTCCATGGTGCTGAAATGAGAATCGCTTGAGGAGCTTCGGAAAAAACAAACCCCACCAAACCCCCCAAACCCGGTGCCCAGGCTCCATGTAAATGAGACCAGATCCCCCTGGTTCGGGCCCTGGGTCCCCTGGGGTTCCGTTGTGAAGCCAGGGCGAGGCCTTGTCCCCATCTTCCTAGCTCGTTCCTCTCCCTAGGATCTGCCTCCTGGGGAACCGCACGCTGTCGCGCCATGGCTTTGATGTCTGTGCCAAGCTGGCCTGGGAAGGAAATGAGACGGTGACCACGCGGCTCTGGGGCCTGTTCTGCTCTTCACGTTTTCTCAACGCTACCTGCGATGAGTACTTCACCCGAAACAACGTCACAGAGATCCAGGGCATCCCTGGCGCTGCCAGCGGCCTCATCAAAGGTCTGGGGAGGGAAGAGGCTGTGTCCAGGGAGCACTGCGGGGATTGTAGGTCACGCGGTCAGATGGAGAGGCCCTCCTGGGGATTCAGTTAAACTCAATCAGCTTTAGTTGAGCACCTACTCTGGGCCTAGCCTCATGGAGGGGTGGGGATGAAAAGGAGCCAGGAATCTCACCAGTAGAAGGAAAGAAAGCCACCACTTTAACAGATGTTCACTAAATACCTGCCAAGTGCCTCTGTGCTAAGTACTAGTAACACAAAATAAATAAGTCACAGTCCTTGTCCCCAAGGAGTTAGTGACAGAGAGATACATTAGCAAGTAAATTCCATTACACGTAGATGTGTATTCGGTGAATGGAGGACTCTCAGGGGAGGGAGGCTTCAGGTGTGTCAGGTGACAAGATGAGATTCTTATACCCACCTCAGGCAGGTTTTGAAGGACAGAGGTGAGCCTGGAGTTCTACCAGGGCGTAAGGGGATCTCAGACCGAGGGACAGCTGCTTAGCGCTCGCACACACAGACGGGCATAGTGTGTCCTCCCGACCACAAGTCGTCTGGCCTGACTGGGGCGTGAAGGGCAAAGGACAGAGGGCAAGGAGTGGCGCTGGAGAGGCTGGCAGGGGCCAGCTGTGGCCGCCTTGGAAGCCGGAGAGGTTGGGCTGTGTCCTGAAGGCAGTGGGGTCCACGAGGAGGTGCACGGAACCCCCAGAGATGACAGTTTTCTGGACTAGAGGAGGAGTGACGGCAGAAGTGGGACAGGGTCCCTCACAGGGTGCTCTTGCCACCCGCCAGGAATCTGGCCTCCCTGGAGATATGGCTTGGTTGTTAAAACTGGGGGTGCGACCGGAAGTTAGTGGGTAGAGGCCAGGGTGCGGCTGACATCCTGCTGGCTGTGGGTAGCCCTCCACAGCAAAGAGTCACCTGGCCGACATGTCACTTGGGCCAGGCAGAGGAGTCTGGAATGAAGACAAGGGCATCTGAGAAACGCTGAGGAGGGGGTGGGCAGAGGTTGGCCATGTTTTGAGGTGGGGGAGGGGAGGGGAGCGGTGGAGGGCGCGGCCAAGGTCGTGGTGTCATTCTGAGATAAGAGGCAGGCATGGCGTGGGGGCAGGGACAGGTGGACCTGGGACGCAGGTCAGTCGGAGTCAGCCTTGTGTGTCCTCCCACTAGATGGGGCTGTCGGAGGGCAGGGGCTGGGTCCCATTCATCTGTGAAATCTATGCCCGTGGCCTAGCGGCAGGCGGACACAGGAGACGTTGGTGGGAATAAAACGCAGCCCAGACCAGGGAGCAAGACGGGTGGTCCCGCCCCACCTCCTGGCCCCAGACCCCTGGACTCCCCTGAGCCTCCCCTCTCCCCACAGAGAACCTGTGGAGCTCCTACCTCACCAAGGGGGTGATTGTGGAGAAGCGTGGGATGCCCTCGGTGGGCCTGGCGGAGGGCACTGCTGTCGACATGGACCACCCGTACGTCTTCAGTGATATGACCTCCTACTTCACCCTGCTGGTCGGCATCTACTTCCCGTCAGTCACAGGTGAGGGCAGCTCTGGAGGGCCTGTCCGCCTGGGAGGGACGAGCAGGCCAGGCCAGAGGGGGCGCCTCAGGATGCGTAGCCTGCCGACCCCGTCACGCAAGCAGAGCCACCATCAGTCCTGAGTGGACGACGAGGCGTGAAGGCCAGACCTCACCCCAGTCCACTGCCAGGACCGGGCCCCGGGGTCCCAACCGCAAGTCGTGTCCTTTCTTCCGGGTCAGTCTGGTCCCCGTGCGCCTGGCGCTTGTCTGAGGTATCTCCTTCTGCAGGGATCATGGCGGGCTCCAACCGCTCTGGGGACCTCCGGGATGCCCAGAAGTCCATCCCCACGGGCACCATCCTGGCCATCGCCACCACCTCTGCGGTCTGTATCCTGCCTTGCTGGACGGGGACCACGGGGGGGGTGTGCTGGGGGAGGCGGCCGGTCCGGGGTGGGGGTGTGGGCTCCCTGCACTTGGAGTTTCTCCTTCATCCTCTGTGCAGACATCAGCTCCGTCGTCCTGTTTGGGGCCTGCATCGAGGGGGTCGTCCTGCGGGACAAGTAAGTGAGGGGATCAGTGGGACCTGTCTGGGGGAGCGTGGGCGCAGGAGGCTGGATTCAGGGTGCAGACCTCCGTGAGGGGCCACCCGTGTTCCCCCTGACCTTCTTGTCGTATTTGTCTTTCTCGTGCCCGTTCGGGAAGCTTGGATGGTAAATCATTTCCTTTAGAACAATGATAGTCTCTCTCTCTCTCTCTCTCTCTCTCTCTCTCTCTCTCTCTCTCTCTCTCTCTTTTTTTTTTAAGAAACAAGCCTCATTAAATCACCTGATATTTATATATCTGGGGGTCGGTCACTGTCCGGGGTTCTTGGGTGAGCACAGATAAAGAGCTCACAGTTTTGTCCTAGAAGGCTCTTTGGGGGTGGTGGCCAACTTGTAAGCAACTTCAAGTGCCCAGCGGTCAGACTGGCCTGAAAGAGAGCCCAGGGCTAGGGGAATGTGCAGGAGGGGCTGCGTCCAGTCCTCAGGGCACTGGGGCTGCAAAGGGGTTCTGCGCTGTTCAGTCCTCCCCAACCACAGAGCACCTGAGCCCTCTCCCCGGCATCCTCCCCTCCGCGACACAGCCTACCCAGGACTCCGCTGCCTTAGGTATTAGAGGTGATCTAGAGAGGTTTTAAAATATTCGGGGGAATGTGCCTAGGTCCTGTGCAAACCCTGTGTCGTTTTATGTAAGACGTGAGCGTCTCGGAGTTTGGTGTCCTGGGGGTTGTGTCTCATTCATCCTTCCCACGTCCACGCTGAGTAGAGATTAATTAGGTGGCTAGGAGGGGGAAGGACCTGCCGGCGTGAACAGGGAAGGGGGAGAAATGGCTTGCGTGTGTGCGTACCTGTGGCTGTGGGTGGTTCCATGTCCCTGGAGCACTACGGGGGGGGGAGGGAGGAGTCCTACCACAGAGTCACTTTCCCCCAGCACCTGGCCTCTCGAAGATAATGCAATGGGGTCCCCGGGGCTGGAGACCGGCGGGAGCCAGGATCAAGGCCTGACTTTCATACCAGGAAACTGAAGCTTGCTTTACTTTTTTTTTTTTTTTAATGGAGGAAACCTTGAAAATGTTAAGCAGGGGAGTGACCTGGCCAAGTGGGCGATTTGCACACATCACACCAATTAGTTTCAGGGCAGCCTGACCTCCCTCTAGCTCACTTAATCATAGGCCTCCCCAGGACTGCAGGGTTCCAGCAGGTCACCCCTACAGTGCTTCACCCAGGGTCTTGGGGTCCTTCGACAATGCCCCCCCTTTTGGGTTGGGGTCTCTCTGTGTTGCCCAGGCTGGTCTTGAATTCCTGGGCTCTTGAGATCCAGTGATTCCCGTGCCTTAACCTCCAGAGCAACTGGGCCTGAAGGCGCCGCCACCACACCCAGCCTGCCCTTCTATTTTAAGAAGATTTTTGTCTTTGATTCTTACACCATCACCACATGATGCAGCCAGAAACCCATTTTTCACATGGAGGCCCTGAGATCCTAGCAAGCTGAGAGACTTTCTCAGGATGACAGAGTACTGACAACCCCCAATTTGCTAGTGCCGTGCTCTGTGCACCATAGTGAGCATTTTACATATGGATTCTCTCACCCATTATAGGGTATAGGCTCATGATTGTTCCCATGGCTGAGGAAACTGAGGCTCAGAGAGGTGGAGTGATCTGCTCAAGGTCACACAGGGCAGGAGGTGCCCAGGATATTCAGGAGTCGCCTTTTCTCTGTCACCTGCAGAGCCTAATGCGTTGGTCAGCCCCGCGGTTGGCGTGGGAGACCCCAGCCTGGAAATCCAGGTGACATGGCTCACTCGGCGTCGTCTGTTCCCCTACTGCTTTATTCCAGGTTTGGTGAAGCTGTGAATGGAAACCTGGTGGTGGGCACACTGGCCTGGCCATCTCCCTGGGTCATTGTCATCGGCTCCTTCTTCTCCACCTGTGGGGCTGGGCTTCAGAGCCTCACTGGGGCCCCACGCCTGTTACAGGCCATCTCCCGGGATGGCATAGTGCCCTTCCTGCAGGTCAGTGTGGGCAGGAGAGCAGCCCCACCCAGCAGGTCAGCCAGCCAGGGCCCTGCCTGGGGGCTGCTGAGGAGACTGCGCAGCCTCTGGGGCCACCCTGGGCTGCTCCTGGGCCCTTCGGCTGGACACTGCATGAAGAGGGATGGGTGGATCTCATTTGGGATTTGGATTGTGGTCAGGCCCATCATTTTGAGAATTTTCTGCTCTCAGGGGAAAATAAATGGCCCTTCCCTGGCTCCATTTGTTGGCCAAGGACTCAGAGAAGCAGAAAAATGGCAAGAAAAGGCGGGGGTGGGGGTGGCGTGGGGAGCTCTCCAGGGTGCTTAAAAACCAGTATGGAGCACATGCCATGGTCACTTTCTGGCCTCCGGTCAGCTCCTCTCCCATCTGCCCATCTGACTGGAACTTCCTTTCCCATCGGGGGTCATTGGAACTTCATGGCACTAGAGTGCCAATGTCAGGGTGGGCAAGACCTGGCAAAATCTGCCGTTCCCTCGGGCGCTCCAGAGGATGAAAAATGCAGCCCCCTCTCCCACGGCTCATGTCTGTGGGACTCCCGCCTCTCCTCCTGTTTTCTAAGACTGGAGGACAGAGACCAGAAGACCGCCCGGTCTCAGTCCCCCGAGACGGTGGTCTGTCCCCAGGTCTTTGGCCATGGCAAAGCCAACGGAGAGCCGACGTGGGCACTGCTGCTGACGGCCTGCATCTGCGAGATCGGCATCCTCATTGCCTCCCTCGACGAGGTGGCCCCCATCCTGTCCATGTGCGTGCCTCTCCCTGGGTCCTCCAGCGGTGGCCCAGGACCACCCCTGAGCACTTTGGTCACCCGGGGACTTCCTGTCAGTCATGGAAGCCCGTCCTTTGTTATACAGAGATCCACCCCATAATATCAGAGTGTGTGAGAAGGGGATTTGGCCTTGGGACCCCTTAGGCGCCCCTGGTCCCTCCCCTGCTCCCCTCCCCATGTCCCCATTTCTGTTTCTGCTCCCTGTGCATCTGTCTCTCCGGGCTCTGTGTGCTCTAGGTTCTTCCTGATGTGCTACATGTTCGTGAACCTGGCCTGTGCCGTGCAGACGCTGCTGAGGACGCCCAACTGGAGGCCGCGCTTTCGATACTACCACTGGTGGGTGCCCTGTCCACCAGCCCGCCCCACCCATGTCTTACCGCCACCCAACCCCAAAGGCCAGCTCCTTCAGGTCTAAGGACCCCAAACCTGAATGCCACGTCCCGTTGTCCCCCCTCCCGTGGCCCAGCTAGTGGGAGGCCGATCCTGGAGAGGCATGAAGCATAGTCAGCAGCAGCCTCAGCATCACCCCGCCCAGTCCAGGGTGCTCAGCTTCTTAATGACGGGTCAGATGCAGCTGATGCAAATCCAAAATGTGACTCTGGCTGTGAGCTCCCGGCTGAGCACGTGGCAATCTGAACCTGTCCCTTGCTGTAAGAGGGGCTTGCTCACTGCTCCTCTCCTGGGCTCTGGAGAGCAGTCCTGCCCAGCAGAGGGGGACCCCCCTTCCAGGAGCCCGCAGTTCCTCTTATTCTTTTACTTTATGGCTTTTCATGCTCACAGTAGGACTGCAGGGATGACCCTGTTCACTCTAGAAAGAGGACACTGAGTTCAAACAAGGGAAGGGACTGGCCCAAGGCCACTGGGAAGACTGTGGCATCACAGGGCTTGTACCAGGGCTGCCACCTCCACTCCCTTGTTCCCCTTTGCTGGTGGCCTCTTCAGGGACCCCATCTCAGAGCCCATGCAGCTGGGGCTGTCCAGCCTGGGCTAAGGTGACTCTGGAGTTGACGGGGACATGGGTGGTGCCTGTCTGTGGCTGCTTCTCCATCCAGACGGCCTCGGATCTCCAGGGTGCTCACGGTGACAACTAGTGAGCTCCCAGACCTGGCCGCCGTCACCCAGGTCTGGTCAGGCCCTGCTCCACGGACTCTCACTGTCCACGCCGGTCTCTCTCCATGTGCAGGACCCTCTCCTTCCTGGGCATGAGCCTCTGCCTGGCCCTCATGTTCATCTGCTCCTGGTATTACGCACTGGTGGCCATGCTCATTGCGGGGCTCATCTACAAGTACATCGAGTACCGCGGGTGAGCGGGAGGCCCCCAGGGGCGGTGGGGACTGGTCGGTGGGGGATAGGGGGGAAGGGCTGGAGTGGAGGGCGCAGTGATGAGGTGGGGCTGGGAGACGGGAGATGGGTGGAGGCTTTGAGAAATGGGTGGTGACAGCAGTGTTTCCAAGGGAGCAGCGGCTTGGTGGCTGGGTGACAGAGCCCGCGGCGGGGGGACTTGCCTGCCCTTCCTCAGCCTGGGAGAAGAGGGAGGGATGTCTGTGCCCTGGGGCAGCCAGTTCTGTGTGCAAGGTTTTCGCTGCCATTTCCGGGATTTCTGGCCTCACGTGGTCCCCTCCTGCCCCCAGGGCAGAGAAGGAATGGGGCGATGGGATCCGGGGCCTGTCTCTCAGCGCCGCTCGCTATGCCCTCTTGCGCCTGGAGGAAGGGCCCCCGCACACCAAGAACTGGAGGTCAGTGTGAGAGGCGCCTGGTGAGTGGTGGGGGGACAGGAAGGGCGCAGGGTGGACTCTCCCCACTCACCTGGTTTTGCTCCGTGGCCTCCTCTGATCACTGGTTTGCTCTCCAAATGCCGCCCAGCTTGCTGGCCTCCCGACCACGTGTTCAGCTGTGGGTTCAAAAAATTGGTGAACGCGGGGCCGGGCCTCCCAGTCTCTGGGATGTAGCGAGCTCTCGCTTCTACAGGGAAGGCCACGGAGACAGGTGGGATTGCTCTCTCACTTAGAGAGCACGGAGCTCTCCGGACTCTGGACTAGTGACAGTCCCTCCTTTTCATTTACATGAAGGTCAGGGGTCAGAGAGGTCCTGGGGGTCACAGAAGGCAAAACCCAACCAGAGCCGCCCCTGAGCTCTCGGCCAGCTGCCCTCTGCCTGGCTGCTGTGCAGGCCCAGACCCTGCCTCACCCCCAGGCCCTCTGCCAAGAGTGAGGCACGAGCTCGGCCAGGACGTGCGGCCGGTCCAGCCGCGAGCTCCAGACCCAGGGCTTGGCGTTATTTGAATCCTCAGACGATCAGCACAGGGTCTGGTGGAGGGCAGGGGCTTGGGGGACTGGCCGGAGGTGGACGGGGAGAGAAGCACACACGTGAAGGCTGAGGGTGCCCTGCGGGCCGAGGGCGGTGGTGGGTGGGCGTGGGGTGAGGATGCACCCAGAGGTGGACGGCCTGGGCGTGAGGGGGACTGAGGGGAGGACGGGTGAGTGGGTGGCGGCACAGGCAGAGCGGAGCGGTGGGCGGCGAGCTGGGCGGGGGTGAGGGATGGACATCGGGAAGATGGTTGGAGCAATGGATGGTCGACTGTTCAGAGGGACAGGTGGTGGGCACAGGCGGTGGGGACCAAGGAGATGGTAAGGGAACTGGTCATGGGTGTGCAGTGGGTGGCCGGGGAGCGGACACGGGGGTCATGTGACTGTCCCCCCGCCAGGCCTCAGCTGCTGGTGCTGGTGCGCGTGGACCAGGACCAGAACGTGGTGCACCCCCAGCTGCTCTCCCTGACCTCTCAGCTCAAGGCGGGGAAGGGCCTGACCATCGTGGGCTCGGTCCTCGAGGGCACCTTTCTGGACAACCACCCCCAGGCCCAGCGGGCAGAGGAGGTGAGTGGGGGCGGGCCAGGGCGCTCAGGGAGACGGTGTTTGCCCCCATCCTGAAACCTCTGGGATCAAGTGGCCTCGGCTTTTCCCATCTTCTTCCTTAGAAGAGGAGCCTGAGGGCCCAGGTAGCCAGTCCCTTAGAATTCAACCCACTGAACCGAAGCCCATCCGAAACAGAAGGGCCTGTGTTGTGGATAAGGAAACGGAGGCATAGAGAAGCCAGGTCCCCGTCTAAGGACAGAAAAAGAGATTCAAATTCGGAGACTTGACCCCTACCTCAGACATTTTCCTGCCAAACTACAAACATTCCAAACTGTCTTCACATTCGTGGGCCATTTTCATCCCACTCTGCATGAACTCGGCATGTGTCGTACCCACCTCCGGCCCAGGAAGAAACTGAGGCCCAGAGAGGGAAAGCAGCTTGGTGAAAGTCACACAGATGCTGTCAGGACTGGGAATGGGTCCGTGGCTCCTCCTCACGTGCTCGTCTCCATCCACCGGCCCATGTCCTCAGAGCAGCGTCCAGTGTGGGCCGGGGCCACCGGGTGCGCGCGAGGTGCAGGACGAGCCGGGTGGAGCCTGGTGGGCAGTGGGGACCGGAGGACGAACCTTCGGCCCATGATGGGGCCATTCTCCTCAGGCCGTGGCTGCGCTGGAGGAAGGAAAGGGCTCCAGGAAGGGGGGGCAGGCAGGACACCCCTAATGCCTTGTGACAGTTCTGTTTCCGCCTCACTGAGCCGTTCACACGGATCTGTCAGGGCCAGGGCTGGAGGCTTCGGCTGCCCGTCCAGCGCAACGTGCAGCGGCTGCGGCGAGCTGTGTGCTGAGGGCCGGGCGCAGGCGGGTCAGCTGCTAAAGAGCACGTGGCCGCCCTCGAGGAGGCCAGGGCTGGGAGACGGGACGTCCAGCAGGCCTCAGACCCTCGGCGGTCAGTGAGGGCTGTTAGGGCAAGAACAGTGGAGGGAGACAGGGCCAGGGTCCCAGCACGCCAGGCAGGGCCCAGCCCCTCACGCTGCATGGCACGAAGTGCTCCCTGCCCCCAGATGAGGTGGCTGTCGGCCCCCGTTGACAGGTAGGAGTGGAGGTGAGATGGCTGGCCGAGGTCGTGCCAGGGTGGCGGAGGTGGACATCACCCTCTGTTGGTCCAGGACAGCCGCTGGGGGGTGGGCTCTGCAGGGAGGCTGTGCCAACAACATGCCCACGTGGGCATCAGCTGTGTCCCTGAGCCAGTCTTAGTCTCTCAAGCCTCAATTTCCGCACTGACAAGATGGGGGTGAGAACAACTTCCCGTATGATGCCCATCAACTGTGCAGTTAAGATGCTTATTGTTACGCTGCGTTAAAAAAGGTCCCTGCCAGGCGGTGCCCTGGCTCACGCCTGTAATCCCAGCAACACATGAGCCTGAGGCAGGAGGATTGCAAGTTTGAGGCCAATCTCAGCAACTTAGCGAGGCCCTAAGCAACTGAGTGAGACTCTGGAAATAAAGAATAAAAAGGGCTGGGGTGTGGCTCAGTGGTAGAGCCCCTGGGCTCAATCCCCAATATCCCCCCAGTTCTTAAAACAGGTCGTCCACCCATCAGAGAGTCTGATCTCAGTCTGGGTGGAGGGCGGTGTCTGGAGAAGGTGGCACTCAGGAGGGAGGGCAGGCCGTGGTGTCCAGCGGGGGCAGGGGATGTGTTGGGTGGTGGGGGGACGGCTGGGCAAACTGTGACTCGTCTGCAGGAATGGGGTCCTAGGTGACAGGAGGGAGGCACGGTCCTGACATGCTCAGGGCTGAGCTTCAGCAGGACGGGGACGAGCGGAGAGGGGGACGGAGCCAGGGGGCTGCAGGGGCCTCAGCCAAGGCCAGGAAGGCCTGAGGCTGGTCCCCCCAATCCCCAGTCTATCCGGCGCCTGATGGAGGCAGAGAAGGTGAAAGGCTTCTGCCAGGTGGTGATCTCCTCCAACCTGCGCGACGGCGTGTCCCACCTGATTCAGTCCGGGGGCCTCGGGGGCCTGCAGCACAACACGGTGCTCGTGGGCTGGCCCCGCAACTGGAGGCAGAAGGAGGACCATCAGACGTGGCGGAACTTCATCGGTAACCCTGCAGGCGGCTGGGCCGGGCAGGGGTGGGCTTTGCTTCCGGGGGCCCCAGGAGTTTCCCAGGCCCAGCACACGTGTGCGCTCGGCACCCGCAGATGACGGGCCAAGGCTGGCCACGTGCCAGCACTGCTGTGTGCTGGGGACTCAGATGTGAATGAGACCGTCGAGGCTCCTTCATGGCCCTCAAGGCCTGAGGGAAAGACAGGGCAGAGCAGGGGGAAGAGCTACAGCTTTGAAGCCACAGTGACCGAGGTCTGCGTCTCAGCTCCAGTCCTTCCTAGCTGTGTGATAGTGCCTAAGTGACTCACCTTCTCTGAGCATCTGACTCCCTGGTGATCGTTGGAAATAGCAATAGGATAACTAACATTGATAGAATGCCTTCTGTGCGCCAGACAAGTGGAGGCTTTCGCTGATCTCACCAGGGTCCTCTGAGCACTAGGCATTTTGATCTCTCTTTTATTGGTGAGACTGCGGCACAGAGAGATTAAGGAATTTGCCTCAGGTCACACAGTTTGACAACCCCAGAGCCTGTGCAGACTCCAACTCCAAGGGGCTCTGTCTCCCTTAAGGATTCAGGGAGGCCACGCGTGGTGGTGGGTTCTTGGTCATCAGAAAGGGCACGTGGTGTCACTGTGATCTGACAGGTGGACGGCTGAAGTCCAGAGAGGTTGGGGGGCTTCTTGGGATCCAAACAGAACGTGCGGAGGCCGGGTGGATGCTGGTTCGGGGAAGGTGCTGGGTGCCAGGAGCCCCCTGGCTGCTACTGGACCTGGGGGGGCCAGAGTCACGCTTCCCGTCTCCTTCCTTCCTTGGGCTCCATCAGAACTGGTCCGGGAAACCACAGCTGGCCACCTGGCCCTGCTGGTCACCAAGAACGTGTCCATGTTCCCTGGGAACCCCGAGCGCTTCTCCGAGGGCAGCATCGACGTCTGGTGGATCGTGCACGACGGCGGCATGCTCATGCTGCTGCCCTTCCTGCTGCGCCACCACAAGGTCAGTGCGCGTGCGCGTGGGCACCTCCGGGGGCGCCGGCCTCCACATCTGGCCTCTCCGGTGGACTCCCGGGGAGGGGCTCTGCTCCCTGCTTCAGGCTGGAGGTGAGCACGTTGCTGTAAAGGACAGCGGCGACGTTTTCACCGGGAGCTCAGAGCTGGGCAGGAGGGGTGGGAAGGTTGGGGACACATCCCCGCTGGGCCTCTCTGGGTCCCCGTGCAGGTCTGGCGGAAGTGCAAGATGCGAATCTTCACTGTGGCCCAGATGGACGACAACAGCATCCAGATGAAGAAGGACCTGACCACGTTTCTGTACCATTTGCGCATCACCGCGGAGGTGGAGGTGGTGGAGATGGTGAGTCCTGGAGCCCCTGGAAGTTCTGGAGGCGCCCGGGCCTCTCCCTTGGCCCCAGCACCGTCCAGGGCCACCCAGCACCCACGGCACGTGATGCCGGCTTGGCCCTCTGCCCGCCTCTTGGCCTCGCGCATTTATCCTGGTGTCCTTCCACCTGCACCCGCGCCCCTTTGTAACCACAGGCTGATGGTGCGCCCCCTCGGCAGGACTGGCTCCTGCGTCTCATGTTCAGTCATTCCCCAGCCACCACGAGATGGGTGTGACTATCAGGATTTCCTTTTTACAGATTAGAACATCGGGGCACAGAAAGGTTAAGTAATTTCTCCCACAACCCACAGTAAATGGCAGAGCCAGGATTGCAACCCAGGCAGGCTGGCTTTAGAGCCTGTGTTCCTGTGGTGACACGGCCCAGCCTCTTGTTCATCCATCCTCGCAGTGACTTTCTGCACCTGTCCCCCTTGTGTCCCCTGGTTTACCCACATGGCCCCTGGCAGACTCACCTGCTCCTGGTGCGCACATTCCTGTGTGTCCACTCTCCCTTCATTCTTTTGCACGCCTCGTCACTCACCAGGTCACTCACTGATCAACTCCTTCATTAGCTCATCATTCACACGCCTGGTGCGGAGCTGCCCAGTGTCCAGGTTGCTGCCCTCTCTGCTCCAGCCCTGCCTCCCGCTGTCCTGGGCCCCGGCAGGGACGCCCTGGGCTTCCCTCCCAGGGCCTCCCTCCCTGGGCCTTGCAGCTGCCTGGGCGCGGGCTTCCCCCTGCCCTTCTCACTGCACCTGCCCCTGCCCACAGCACGAGAGCGACATCTCCGCCTACACCTACGAGAAGACCCTGGTGATGGAGCAGCGCTCCCAGATCCTCAAGCAGATGCACCTGACCAAGAACGAGCGCGAGCGGGAGGTGAGCCTGCTGCAGGTCTGGTTCTGCCCAGGCTCAGGGTGGCCTGGGTCTGGCCCTGGCCACTGGCATTGCTGCCTTCACCCTAGCACCCTTACTCCCCCAACTCCACCTCGCGGCACCGGGCTCCCTGGCAGGCAGCGGGAGGACATGCTACCACCCCGAGCCACAGGGCAGAGGAGCCTTGGCATGCAGCGTGGATTGTCCTCTGCATGTGATTTTGGGGGCCCAAGGGAGAGTAATGGATGCTAAATAGGTACAGTGATGAGTCCTCAGGCGTGTGGGCTGCCAGGTGGGAGACAAGGGTTCATGTAATAGACTCTCAGAAAGTGGGTGGCAGGTGGCTGTTCACAGATGTAGCCGTGGGTGTGGTCCATATTGCCAGGGCTCAGGGTGATGGGTCTCCCATGGAGTGTGCATGTGAGACCTCCCAGGTGTGGATCACTGGTCCCAGGACTGTGGATGAAAGACCCTCCCCAGGGAGTGGAGTCCTTAGGGTCATGAGTGATGATACCCAGGACTGGGGACAAACTCCTGGAGGTGGGGCTAGGTTGCTTGGGGAATGGGGGCAGATCTTATAGGAGAAGGTGTCAGAACCATGGGTCATGGGTCTCCCAGGTGTGGTTAATATATTTCTCAGAATGGGGCTGATGGCCAGGCACATGGTGCACGACTGTGATTCCAGCAATGTGAGAGGCTGAGGCAGGAGGATTGCAAGTTTGAGGCCAGTTTTCACAACTTAGCAAGGCCTTAAGCCGCTCAGTGAGACCCTGTCTCAAAATAAACAATAAAAAGGGCTGGGGATGTGGCTCAGTGGTAAAGTTGTCCCTGGGTTTAATCCCCAGTACCCCCTCCCCCCAGAAAGACTGTGGTTGATGGGTCCTCAGGGAAATGAGTAACGGGTACCCCTTTATCAGATAAGGAGGGATCTCCAAGGATGGGGGTGTTACCCAGGGGTGGCAGTAAAAATGATAAGAGATGGCATTTGCTCGTACCAGCCAGAACTGACATGGGCCACAGTGCGTGGCAGAGCCTTGCTGTGGCAGTGCTGCACTTTGGTTGTGGGATGGCGGGAGGTCGGGGCTCTGGAGGAGTGGCCAGGTCAGTGTGCAGTCCTCTTGGACGGGAAGTCCTGTGCTGTTTGAACTACTGGTTGGTTCCTGGCTGAATGTTGGCACTGGTGGTAGCTCTTGGCAGGGCATGAGTGGTGACTCCCAGCAGAGCTGGCACCAACTTGTGTCACTCCCTAGATTCAGAGTATCACAGATGAGTCTCGAGGCTCCATCCGGAGAAAGAATCCGGCCAACACTCGGCTTCGCCTCAATGTCCCGGAAGAGACGGCTGGTGACAGCGAGGAGAAGCCCGAGGAGGAGGTGGGCAGCGGCAGTGGTCTGGCCTCAGCCAGTGGGAGCAGGACCTTTGGCTGCCAAAGGAGTCACCTCCTCGCCTTTCCTTCACCCCCAGGTGCAGCTGATCCACGACCAGAGTGCTCCCAGCTGCCCCAGCAGCTCCCCGTCCCCAGGGGAGGAGCCTGAGGGGGAGGGCGAGACAGATCCCGAGAAGGTGCATCTCACCTGGACCAAGGACAAGTCCGTGGCAGAGAAGAATAAGGGCCCCAGTCCCGTCTCCTCGGAGGGCATCAAGGACTTCTTCAGCATGAAGCCGTATGGGCTGGGGCCAAGGGCTGGGGTGGGGTGGGCCTCGGGGCCCTGCCCAGCCTGGCAGAGAACCAGCAGGGTCCAGTCTGAAGCCCCAGGGCGGCTCCCTTCCCACCTGAGAACTCCCAGGGTTTGGCCTGATGCTGAGGCGGGGGCTTCCAGGTTCAGGAAATGGGGAGGTGAAGGATGCGGGCGAGAGCAGGTGATGGCATCTCAGGACCCAGCCTCTTCTTTTTCTGACTCCTTTCCCTCTTTCTCTCGTTGCTTCTGTGTCCTGAAGGGAGTGGGAGAACTTGTAAGTGCTTCAGCATGTTTCCTGTTTCCTCCCGCCGCCAGGTCTCCCCTCTCCTTGCTCTCTCGTGACCCCCAGGGGTGCCCCTGGCCTCCGGAGTCTCTCATTGCTCAGTTGGAGAGGCCTGGGGTGGGTGTCACGGGCTTGCGAGGGCCAGCCCCAGCAGCGCGGTCTGCCGGGAGGGCCACCGAGTCCTCCCCAGCCCGCGCTCTGCTCCCCTGGCTCCGCAGGAACCAGTCCAACGTGCGGCGCATGCACACGGCCGTGCGGCTGAACGAGGTCATCGTCAAGAAATCCCGGGACGCCAAGCTCGTTTTGCTCAACATGCCCGGGCCCCCCCGCAACCGCAACGGTGACGAAAACTGTATCCTGGACTGAAGATGCGGGGGTGGGCGGGGAGGTGACCTCCGGGAACCTGGTCCTAGTCCCGGGATGGAAGGTCCGAGCCGGTCCTGCTTCAGGATCAGCACCTCGGACAGGGACGCAGGAGCGCGAGGTCCCTGGAGACCCCTGCTCTGCCGGGAGGGGAGGGGCGAGTCTTTCTCCTTGACCGGCTCTCAGACATGGAGTTCCTCGAGGTCCTCACAGAACACCTGGATCGGGTGATGCTGGTCCGCGGCGGCGGCCGCGAGGTCATCACCATCTACTCCTGAGGGCCAGGACCTGCCACCCGGGCCCCAGCGCGCCCGGCCGCGGCCCCGGAGCCCTCGCCGCGCCCCCCGCCGCTGTCACCGTTTACACACAGACCCTGTGCCCGTGCCCTGCCCCCTTTCCCCGCTGCCTGAAGCCTGGAGGCCACGCCCGTCGGGGCTGACTCGGAGAGGGCGCCCGAGCGCCTGTCGTCCCGGCTGCGCTGCCCTTTTCTAAGCGCGGCCTCGCCCGGCCGGAGAGACGCTGCAATAAGGGTCGGGAGCAGGTGCGGAAAGCAGAGGACCTGGGGCCCGGAGGACCCCCGGCATCCTCGCGGCCCCTTCCCCTTCCCACGCCGCCGCGGTCCTGGCGCTGCGCTCCTCGGCGCTGCGGCTCGCTCCCAGCGGCCCCGAGGCGCGGCTGGGCAGGCGGCGCCCCAAGTCCCCCCCGCCC